GATATAAAATAGCGGTTCTCAAATATTTATAGGCTGAGATTCATTTTCGATCTATGGTTATTTTATAAATAAAGAGTCGCGATCTATAAATATTTGGCGGCCATATTAATCGGTAATCAAACCTTTGAAATTATCTCGTCGGCGTATCCTTTGAGAAAATATTCATGTTAAGAGAATCATCGTGCATAAATTGCGAGTAAAATCTAATTTTTATTATCAAATAAGTGTATTTGATAAATAAGCAATAATCCTGTTTGCAATATTCAAATGTGCAAGTTGAGATAAAATTCCTTTGTCCAAACAGATCGAATGTTGAAAGCACTAAAGTAAAATTTACGTAGAGACACAAAAGGATTGAACGGAATCATAATGATTTAATTGAAAATGTGATTATTTTATTTTAATGGCATAAGTGTTAAAAAGAATAACGATTTAATTAAAATGATTGAGAACCACTGAACGAACGGACGCTGGTTTCGGAGAAAAGAACTGGAACATAATATCGTAATTTTCCTTTACCATTTCCTTCTTTATTGCTCGTTTCTCGGAAATTCGAAGAGAAACAAGTCGACGCCTGAGGTTTTTGTAACTAATAGATTGGGCATAGGCGATAACATAGGCGAGGTGTACAATGAAGGCTGTACGAAAGTAGATAAGGCTGGAATAAGCGCGGCATTATGAGACCCGTCCAATTTGCGCGGCGTTTAATTAGAAAATTGATCGTGCACGATTTATCTTCGGCGACCGGTCCACGATTCGTCTTCGATCGAAGCGAGCACTTGTATTAATGCGGACGATTTATGACGTCTATTTAAAAGCTCAAGTGCAAGGATCTGCAAATGCTCAAAAACGTGTGAAAAGTCGAGGCGTCGAGGGAAATCTTGGAGGTATGGGTATACGCGAATTTACGCGCACGTCATCCGTCTCGAGTGGAACATGTCGTAGGTATTTACTACTTTCATAAATATCCTGGCATATATTAGTTATAATTTGTAATATAATAATTTGTAAGAAATTAAAGATGAATTAATGTATCATTTTTTTTTTTGCAGAGTCAATAGTAGTCAGTTGTAAATTGAAATTTATCTTATACATAAAATTACAATAATGCTTAGATGCATTTAAATTAAATATTAATTTTTTATTTATTATTTTCATATATATTATAATTTAATAGACATAAATAATTTATAAATTGAACTATCTGAATGAAATGACATGAGAATATCAATAGAAACAATTTAATGTAATAAGAATTTTTATATTTCAAATATATAAATATATATATATATTTTTTAATCCTATATTATATAAAAATGAATTTTTTTCATATCGTATTAATTAACAGGATTAATTGAAGTAGAAAAAAGAATTTTCTTAAATTAATTTCACGGTACAAATGTACCGTGTTCCCAAGAACGAATCATTGTAATTTCTTTTGTCTTTTCAAAGCAATTTCAAAATTAAAATAACTTTCTGTTAGAAATGAACATATGTCCGGATACTCTCGAACGATAGCATAGTATACATATGCGTACACTGGCGTGGAGGAACGACGTCCTCGGAAGGTCATCGAAGAGAAAGGCTGGGGGAAGAAAGTTGTTTGAATTTCGGCGTTTGAGTGACGAGTGCACTCGCTTTCGTTCCCCGTATGCTGTTTCAAAGAAGAGATTCAAGGGTACCTAATTCTGGATGTATTTTTTCGCGTCGCCGACTCCGACCCTGTCCCGTTTCGCGAAAACGAACAATCCTCCGATAGGGAGGAGGGTCGTGGAGTGTGTTTCGAACCCTTAAGAATAATTTAAGGAGCGAAATCTGAATTTGAGGTTTTATAGTTTGGTTGCAACGCGTATACGGCGACAGCCATTCCTCTGTTCGGCGAGTTTAAGCATGCTATTTTCGCGAGACATCCGCAAGCACCGTGCGTATCTTTCTGCGGATTATTCACGTTGGGTTGCATTAATTCTTTGTGCTCGATAATTTTTTTTTCCTTCTCCTTTGTCGAGGAGAATTTTGGACAATTGGATATTTTTGGATATATTTGTGTTTGTTGTCGAAAAATTTTAAAAAGATTATGATATAAAAATATATTTTATTTATAATTTTGATTTTATTTTTTTTTTATTTTTCGTGAAACGTGTTACCTACGTATGGTAACTCGCGGGAAAGAAATATTTTTGAAACGTGGGAGGAATTTCGTCATAGCTTCGTTTGGAATTGAATTTAAAAATTACATTATTGTTCGATTTCAGACATATGGAAATAAAAGATATAATGGAAGAGAATGAAAAAAAATAAATAGCAGAAATAAAAGAATCTTTACGAGGACTTATAATTCTGAAATATTAATTTTATAAGAAACATATAAGAGAACCTTCCCAAAGAATTTTAATTTCATCTCTCAATAAATAATAAAACAAATAACAGAAGAAAATGAACATAAGGATTGTAATTCGCCTTTGAATAGATAATAAAGAAGAACAACAAAGAAAATGAAAAAAAGAATGAATAAAAGGAACGATATTTCGATTCTGCAATTTTCAAATTTATAGAAAATATTTAAAAGAGCCATTGCCAAGGATCTTAAATGATAAATAGCACATTTATTGCAACATATATCCGTCGATTTAATCTCTGAATTTCCATTCGAATTGGCGAATGATAGTCGCGCTTCGAATGCAAAAGGGTTAAAGACAACGGCGCATTCTCAGCGTTTCTATCATGCAGCAGCTTTGTAACATCTATACGTCGACGAGTATCGCGACTGTGCTGGCAATTAGTCTTTTCTTTCCTTTTTTTTTTCCTTTTTTCTTCTTCTTCTTCTTCGTCAATGCGATTGCGCGTGCACGCACAGGGTGCATTTAACTAAGTATGCACCACCTCGAACACGTTGCATGCACCCGTATGCACCGCACGAGTCAACGACGTTAAAGGCGTTCGTACGCTTGGTTCAACGTCTGCTTATTAAATGCAGCCACCTCGTGTTCTCGTGTTTCACTGGTTAGTACACAGGGACGGGTTATGAACAGAGATAAAGGTGTAGAATATCGTCGTGTCTTGATGCGTATACGCCAATGGACCGTTCTTGCATTGTTTTCCTTTGGCCCACTTTTCTTTCATCTATCCACTGTTTATTTTTATCTACATATTTTATTTAATTCGAACGATTTGAATTCAAGGATAATTTGAAAAAATAATTGCTGCAAGAGAGGATTTATCAAAAAATTGATAAATAAAGATTCATCAATTCACCGTGAATAATAAACGTTTTTATTTTTAATGTGTTTAGGTTAAAGCAAAAATAATTTTATACGGCTTCTTTTTCAGTTTTTTTTTTTTGAAATTGTGGCAGTACTGTAAAATTCTATTTTTAAAAGAATTAACATCTTTTTTTTCAATCGTTAAAAATATATCTCGTCTTCGAGCCACACCTCCACTTACAATCCTCTTCATCAATATTTGACCGACATCCTGCTGTTTGCACATCTTCAATATTTATCCAAACTGTGAATCAATGATTCGCAAAAGAAACAGTGATAACATACGAGACGGCAATAAACTAGAAACTGTGTAAAATATATAAACTATACATCAATTTATAAGTGCAAAGATATAAAATTTCAAAATAGTTGGAATTCATCGCTTTAAAATCGCTTTAAACCATCGTTAACTCGATCCCAACGACACACAGGTATTATCGACAATCCTTCCTGTTCGTTCCCTCGAACGAATATCTTTTCAAGTAGCATTTATATATCCATTTGTGTTCTCGCACGACAAATTTCTCCCGCCTGTGTTTCCTCTGTCTGTCTGTCTGTCTGTCTGTCTGTCTGTCTGTCCCCCGTTTTCCATCGCCCTCGTTTCCCTGATTCTCTTTATCGCTCCTTTGGAATCGCATGAGTGTGTATACAGAAATGCAGGATCAATAGGTGGTGGTGGAGGGTACGAAAGCACCCCAACGCGATTTCATGACTCATAATACACACTTGTTCGAGGCCCCCTTTCCTTCCCCCCCTACCTTTATCGCACGCGTTCCCTTGTATCTAAATTATTTTTACAAGGTTTCATTTCCTTTTCCTTTTCTTTTTTTTTTTTTTTTTTTAAACGTTAGAGTTTTTTTTCTTTTCTTTTCGCTTATATATATAGAAGCCCAGGCTATTGATTTTTCACGGTGCCCGTCTTTCTCGCTTTTTCCCACCGGCGAACAACGCTTTTCCCGCTCGCTCTTCTCGAATTAATTAACGCCGACCTGCTCTTGGAAACGTTTCCAACCTCGTCGGGCATTCGACGGGCATTTTTCGGTACCATCGACAGGATCGTACTTCCGTTGCACGCAAACGAAAAGGAATTTCAGTTAATCAAAGGTTACCTCCCGGTTACGCGCTTCTTAGACCTGTTTTAACAGATCCCTTTCTGGTTTTATCTTTGAACTTCTCTCTGCAAAGTTTCAGGAATTATCTTTTTTAATTTTTTTCATCCTTCGTTTTTTTTTTTTTTTTTTTTTTTTTTTTGTTCGATTAAAGTGTTTGAAGCGGTACGTTAAACCGGTTATACCGAGAAGGAATATTCGTGAAAATGTAGCACAAGAGAATTACAGTAATACTTTAAAATGTGTGCGATAGCTATACAGAAAAAATATCTGCACATCGTTTTATTTATTGTAGTATTTTATGGTATTAATTAATTTGATAAGCGATTAATTAATTATTATATGGTTATAGAAGAATTTTATATTGCAAAAGTGTAATCTAAGAAGACGATTCATTGGAAAAAGAAGGATATTACAAATATTTTTTTTTTGTAATTATAATTGGTTTGAAAAAAAACCTTCTTAACGATTTTTCAATTAGAAAAGATGATTAAGAAGAGAAAAAAGACACGAAGAGATTGAGATATTGGTCGTAACGTAAAGATATATAAATATATTTTTTTATACTCATTTATAATTGCCTTCGAAAAATCTTTTTAACGACTTTAAATATTGGTCGCGATATTTGCTCGAAGATGTCGTGGACCAGTTTGAAAGCCCGAAACTCGAGGCCTGGTAAAAGTAAGAAGAAAGTAGCAGCGGCGGCAGGTAGTCCCACAAAGGTACCTGTCACATATACAGGGTGACCCAGGATAAGTGATACATGCGACCAAGAGATGATTCTGCATGCAAAAATATCTTGCAAAAGATTGAACGTATATTTCATCTTCATTCATTATTATAAAATATCGCGATCAATTGATGTAAAATCGTGTCAATTCTAAAAAAATCAATTGATATCTAGAAATCAATTGATATTACGAATGTTCTGTTCATGCATGTAAAAAAAAGTAAAACGTAATTTATTTACACAAATTATAATTTCGAATCATAAGAAAAAAAAACACACACACAATCCAAAAAAAAATTTCAAAATTCGAGAACTCGAAACTTTTTGAAAAAAAAAAAAAAAATGTAGTTTCCTACTTTTTCGACTCATTTCTTTTTAACCAAATACCTGCCTACTCATACCTGATTCATCCTGTACACATATAATGGAAAGTCTGTATTTATCTCCAGGGGATGACCTAACCCGACCTGAATAGTCCGCGCTTGGCAAGGTTAGGCCGGTGTGTGCAAGTGCACCTCTTTGAAAAAGATCGAGCCCAAGGGGTGAGTCATAGGGCGGCGGTCGTGGCGTTTTTCATCTATCGACCTGCGGTACAGAAAACGCAGGATTGGTCGTGGGGAAACTCGGCTCGATTCGTCCATGTACAACCGTGTGTACATGGTGACCGTGGGGGGCTTTGCTCGCCGAGAAATCGATTCTGGATAATGGGCTATAATTTCATTCGCGTACTACCGGTTGATAATCGAACAGCTTCGATCGTCGAAACGGAATACGCTACTTGAAATTCTATTTACACACTTCACGCGGCTCTTTGGGGTTGTTTGCCTTTGCGCGTTGTTTTAATCGCTATTTATCAGAGATTAATTCCTACGTGGAAAGTTAAATTATCTCGTGAACAGTTTTTTTTTTTAACCGCTAGTTAAAAAGTTTGTGTTAAATAATTTGGAAAATATCGAGTTGTTAAAGTTAGATAAAAATGTTGGTTTATAATATTTAATAAAATAAAACGTTCAATTGTATATTTGGTTTTTAAATAGTTCGAATTATTCTGAAAGATTTTATTCTTATTAAAGATCTATGCTTTATGGAAATCTATGAGCATATGTGTATATGCTATCTTTTAGTGAAATAGATGTATAATAATGCAAATCTTTGTACATAAGAATTGATGTCATCTTCAATTGCCTATTTTTCACGCATATTTTAACACTTACAATTGTCTCTAATTATCGTAATTACTTACTTAACACCATTTAAAATTAATTTATCAAAAACTTTCCAATTCAATATTTCGCCTCTTAATCCTTGAATACTATTTAATCCAAAGTAATCGTTTTATTCAGATTAACTTTTCACGGGTACAATATTACACGCTTTTCTATCGATATTCGTTTTTCGTATCTTTCAATTGGCGCAATATCCTGTTCCGAATGTAACGTGTTTCCCTTCAAACCGATTTACGTAATATTCGTGTTTTCTCCGATAAAAACGACCTAAGACCTAATGCCAGTCCAATAATTAAACCGTCGATATCCAAGGCGGTGTGAAAATAAAATCGGAGATAGAACGGAGAGCGGTTCGACGGGAAAAGGATAAAAAAAAAAAAAAAAATGATAGGTTTTCCTGTTACGTTCGAAAGTCCAAGTCAAATTATCACCTGCTCTACTAGTTCTCCGTTACTTAGCTGCAAATCGTCGATCCCGTACAGTTATCACAATGAGAAAGTCGCGAGGAGAAAAATTACGTTTTACACGATGGATCGCCGCCGACGGATAGATTTGCGATCGGCTCCGCGACATACATACGTTCGATTTACTGGATATCTGATTTAAACGTGTATCGGTGCCAATAGTATCGTATCACTCACTTCTGTGTATCGCTACGCGTGCGAGTATCATATTATACTTGGTACGATTAGCTTGATCGCCCGGATATTCCTGTTTGCGACGACAAAACGAGGTTGTCTCGAATCAATACGAGCTAAGTCTTCCTCCGCAACTTCGTAACATTAGATTGTGTACTTTGGTCAACTCAGATGTTACAACACTTTTGTACAGTGGTTACATTTATAACGTAATCTTCTTACGGAATAGTAAGAATTAATAATTAAGGTTAAATAATAAAATTTGGCGGTAAATATCTACATTAGAATTAAATATATAGATTTATCGATATATTTATCGATATAATTATATTGCTGTTAGATTTAATATAGATAGAATGTAGATGAATGCAAGAATTGTTTTGGAGGGAAGAGATAATGCAAGAGGTTGAATGCAATATAAAAATTGGAGTACAAAAATATGGGTCGAGGCTTATTTATTAAGTTATAACCAATTTAAGTGTGCAGTTAGACGAAGCAAGACGGGGATAGAATGGTAAGTGTGACAGAGATAGAGACGTCTGATTCTATTTCCATCTCACTTCGTCTAACGTAAAACTATTTATGATTCAATAAATAACCCTCCATCGATATTTTTGTATACTAACTTCTGTGTGTATTTTGGCATCTAGAATCGACTCTCCAAAGCTTTACGAATATATCAACATCCTGTATAACTTAAAGAATACAGCTTCTCAAATAATGAAAGAGTCTTTTCATTATTAATACTATATATTTTTACAAATTACTTTTATAGCATTATGATATTCTGACTAAGAATAAAATTATGTATATGTATACTTTAATTAAAGTATATTTTATCAAAAATAAAGAAGTATTTAGATATTTTTGAATATTAATAAAATGATGTAAAATAGGATTTTAGAACATAGTAATAAAGCAATCCCGCTTAATTAAATTTAGTCCACACAGATGATTGAAATGCAACGTGACTTCATAATGATACTATATCATAGCATGTTTAAAGTACATAACACAGAGAGTGGTCATCAACGGCTGATTAATTAATTGTGAAACCGTATGATTTGATGACTTGCGTTTTCTATCTTTGTTTTCCATATTTTATAACCACCGTGAGACGCTTCTATTAACTAATTACCTTAATACGTCCTGAGAGACCAGATATATCCTGGACATGTGACATCGATCTCGTTTCGTTTTTTTTTCTCCCGGTTTCCTTTTTGCACGGTTGGATCCTCGAGATGGGGATCTCGGGAAAGGAAAGAGCCATCGATCAACCATATCTCTCTCCTGTACACACATGGACGCGTGTGACTACCAACGTCTCACAATCAGTGCGTGGCCCTTGAATGGCTACTTGTTAGAAATGAAAGTAACGCGTTTCGAATGCCAAGAGAGTATAGGCGACTCGATCAGCCTTCCCCTCCCCCCGTCATTCTTTCCACTCTCTTTCCCTGAACACGATCCAAGTTAAACGTTGTCGATGCTCGATACCTTAGATTTGTCCTTAAGCCGCGACTAAGCGTAAATGTTGAAAGGCCAGGATCGTCCTTGAACGATTAAGCTTCCGTAACACCAGCCACGTCGTTTTCTTTCTTTCGCGTTCCCAGAACCTTGAGCAACTTCTTCGTGTCGCAGCCGTTTTATGTTAGTTAATCGTTTTCGGTTCATCACGCGAGGCGAATCGTTTTTCAGCCGAGAATACGATATTCCACGATCCAGAGAACAAGTACAGAGTTTCCTCTCCATTTACGTGAATGAATCAGACATTCGATTGATGACGGTTGGCACGCGTGGCGTTGCTGAAAGAAAAGGCGTCGTAAAATCAAAAGTTACTTACGTGTTTCAAACGTCTGGCAGAAATGTTATTTACGACAGCGCAAGTTTACCTTAACTTAGATCCTCTTGTTGAAATGGATAAAATACGATGTTCCGATCTGTATATCATTTATAGATGGCACTGTATACAGTGCTTCGATTTACGATCATGTTATATGTAACACGTGTTTTATCGATTGTAGGTAAATCGTGCAAAGATGTCTCCACGTGACGTGTATTTTACATGTTTCATTCAGGAGGCTCGGTCAGAATATGAATGAAAATTCGTCAGAGGAAGAAGTAACAGGTCGAGATTGTATGGTAGAAGCGATTCATGTGCCTGATAATATGGGTAGAACCGATGGATCCTTGGTCTGATGGTGTTCGACCAGTCGCGAGTGCACGTTGCGGCAACAGAGTCCAGTTTCACTTTTCGTGCCGAGCTGCTAAACGGCCAGAAATCTTTCTACCGGCAGCCTTGCGAAATCTCTCATTGTCCCGAGGTGTGTGACGCGTATGTGTGTACGAGAGTGTGTTCGTGTCAAGAGGTTTTCTCACTCGTCGATTGCACTAAATACTTGGCTGAAGCGAAAAAATTGAACGATTATTTTTTGATGAAAAAACTTGCATATAATTTTCTAGATTAAGAGGATTAGTATCTGTCGAATGAAATTTTGAAGCACTATAAAAGTTTCTAATTTTAATTTATTTTTTTTTAAAGTTATATTATTAATTATAATATCTTTCTTCTTAATTTTATATTATAATTTATCAATATTTCACTATGAATATAATGCATGAACAAATTAAATAATTACCTTATGGAACAATATTCTTTTAGTTTATTCCAGTACAAAACATTATAATTAAACTTATTTTTAAAAAAATATTTATAAAATCAATAATTTAGATTCTTTATAGCTGAAATACCATTACAAAAAGCATTAGAAATTAATAATATAATAAAACTTTGCTTTTATATATTGTTTTTATTTTAATACATACACTGTTCGGCTGTCTCGGCAAGAAAAAATTTTCTTTTTTTCCCTTTTCGATCTCCTGAAGATGCTAAAGCATGTCCATTCATTTTATTTTCGTCTTTTTGTTACAGGACCAGTACGAGAATCTATCCCTGCATACGCAAAAAGGGATAGAGTTCCTCGAAAGGTACGGCCATTTCATTCGCGATCGATGCGCCATCGAGGTGGAATATGCGGCTAAACTCAGGTAAGAAATACTTAGGGGAATTAGAAGTTTCTTCTCGATATTGCGTGCATAGATTTCTCGTGAGATTTATGTTCGTTGGCTGCTTTGTTCGACATCGATGCCTCTCTTTTTTATTATATAAATTAACAAAGGGCGTAGTATCCGAGGTTAACGATTTCAATAGGACATCCTGTATAATGAGCGTGTCTCACGCACCCCACGAGTTCACGGACACAAGATGTAGCCAGTAATATTGTATTAAAGGGCCCCCTTGTTTGTTCCGTGAATGCCATCTACTGTTGCACACTTTTGTTCTATCGGGTGTCTCAAAGTGAGCTTATTTTCGTCTTTTTATCGCCTCATATTTGATAACAAATATTTAATAAAGAGACAAAACGATTATTGGAGAAAAGAAAGCTGATAACGTAGAATTGTTTTGTTATTTAGATCAAATGTCTTTAGTGTTTTTTGAGACAAAACGTTTTATGTTGATGCATCCTTCTTTGTGTTAATAGGAATATCATATTTTATTTCTAAGAACAAATTATATTAGATTCAATAAAAATATAATAAAAGCAAAATATTAAAACATTATTGTAGATAATATGAAATTTAATAACATAATATTAAAGATTTTGCTTATAAACGTAAGCAAACCTAAGAATATTGCTTATAAACATAAAGTAATAACAGTGTCTAACCAAATTAAATTAAACAAAACAGATTGTATAAATTTATATGTACGTACCTAATGAATCTTTAAACTTAATTTCCTTTCTTTCCTCTTCTTTTTCTAATTCCTCTTCTAATTCATTTTGATTTTATTTCTTGATTTCAGAAACACCCTGTACATGATTTCTATGAATGTTAAAAATTGTCATCAAAAAATGTATAAATATAATCTTACATAAATATTTGCAAATAAAAATAACTATAATGACTATTATTTCACATCTTCTTAGGAGATCGTTATCTATAGTGATTGAAAAACATTTAGATGATTTAGATAATCAATATTGCATTATATTTTCTAAGAAAAATCATTTAAGTTGGACCATTGATTCTACATTCGAAAATAGTAATATCCTTGACTCGAGATCACGATGTTTTAATGTTTTGTCGCGTGATGTATTTTGGTCCGTGATCGAGAAAATGAGGCGCACAGGAAGCTTTACAAAGACGTGATTTCTTTTGAATCTGGCAGAGTTTAATTGCCGCGGCCGATTATCGTTGTCCCTTAATCAATTGGCGCATGTGAAGCCTAGAGGAATGATTCCGCGTGCTCGTCACACATCTATCCCAGACACGTTCGTTCCACTGCATATAAATTATCACGGGCACGTTCCTTGCCTTAATGCGTCGTAATTTTAACGATACATGCTCGTGTTACTCGTACAAATGGAGTACCGTTTTACCGTGTGGCAGTTTCCCTCGATGCACCGTTGATTTTCATTAAAAGCATTCCGAACAGCGTAAAATACGGTTATATATTCTTTAAATCTAGCGCACTTAATTTCTTCGAGTTTCTCGGTTAGTTAGAGAAGTTCGGTGCAATGCTCGATGAATTATCCTTTACTAACCTAGATTCTAGAAAGAAGAACTGTGAATCACGCGGAAATTCTTTGTCCAGATTTTTCAATTTCGTCAATCTCTATCTCTTTTTCTTTTTTTTTCTTTTTTAGTTAACGTTTTAAACGAAGATCTTTTACAACAATTATATTTTTGAAAATTAATTATTCTCACATGATTAAAACGAACCATCACTTTCCGATTAGAGTTGTGACTATTGATTATCGATATTTTATCGACATTGATAGTTTTCGATATATCGATAATATCGTTTAAATATCGATAGAAGTAAATGAAGTTTCTATTTTTTCTTATTGAAAATTATTATTAAAACCTAAAAATAATATTATATATAATAAATTGCAATAAAAATAATCTTTAATAATAAATTTGAATAAAAAATATTTTAATTACTTTCATTTATTATCGATATTTTGACGATACTGTCGATATATCGAATTATCGATAATATAGCAATATTATCGACATTTATCGATAATATAGCAATATTATCGACATTTATCGATAGTCACAACTCTATTTCGATTCCTACAGTTTCGTAGATTACAGTTTAAATATATTTAATCTAAACATGGCGACAATATATCGAATCGGTTTGAAAATAACTTTCCCAATTTTTAGACAGTAACCCAGACCTAGGAAAGAGGAATTTAAGCGGACTCGAAAATAGCTTTTCCAATCTGACACACGCGCCACGTACGTTGGACTTGCCTTGTGGTTAAAGGCTCGCGTTTCTCGGTATTTTAGAAATCGGTTAACGTTTTCACAAACTATTTTCCGGTTTCGAGGCACGTCGATGCCCGGTAAAAATATATGGTTGATCTGGTATCAAGGACACGTCAACTTCCGGATGATAATGCATTTAGTAGCCGGCATACATTTTATCGTTCGTTCGTGGCCCCGAGTGTTCAAATTAGAATGACTCGGACGTAGTTATTTCTTACTGCACGAATGACTAAACGCAATCTGTGTGTATAGAATTCTGGTGAACGTTCCGCTTTGCTTTAAAACTTAAGCACGATTATCATTGTCGCGTAATTTCATAACGTTCTACGAGATTTCTTTCTTTCGTTTACCGCTATGGAAGTTCCAATTTTCATATTGCTAACAACAGGAACGTGCAACTCGCTAAAGTGAGAACGGTCTGAAAATAACTTTAGACCGCAGACAGCTAAAAAAGGACAGGCACAAAATCTTGTTGAAACAAAAGATTATTTTTTTCTCTCCGATATTTATATTAGTCATGAACAAATCATTTATTTCCCTTAATAAGGAATAGGTAGGTTGCATAGGTTATCTCCAGATTGATTATTACCTGCAGTTCCGGTAATCTTGTTTCGTTTTTGATTGCAGACGTCTTGTGAAGAGCTATCAACCTAAGAAGAAAGAGGAGGAGGATTATCAGTGAGTATGAGCCAACTTAGAAGCGTAATACCGGATCCACGCTTCGTAGTAATGTTTCTTGACATGAATAATACTTCAAAATAATTTTCATTTTAAAATACATTCTATATTTTAATAGAACATTTTTAGTCAGAGACAAATCTGTTAACTATTATCTCAACTAGGGTAACTTGAATCTCTCGCAATTAAATATTTCGCTCTAACATTCAGTTTAAATTGTTTTAATACTAGAAAATATTTGCAATATTAATCTTGATATATGATATATGAAAATGATATACATAATTTTAAATATTTTAAATATATTTAGAATGCTATAATTTTAGAAAAATTCTGTTGATTCCTAATAATTTTAAGTTCTTACTGTAGAATTCTAGAGTTTTATTGATTGAAGAATATATATACATATATTTTTATTTTTCACGTCTTTAATTATTCCATCGAATCCTCGAATATATCATAATGCATCATTAGAATAATATTATATAGTATCTTATAGAGATTGGTTCAACAATTGTCTATGTAGGTTTCGCAATTTCTTTAAATGTTTCCCAGCCTTTCGATTAGAATGCAAACGTGGCGCTTGAAAGAAAAGAAAAATTCTTAAGCGCCTTTAATATTCCATACGTGGCGTGACAGAAAACAGTAGCTAATCTCTTATCTGAAGGCGTGGGTAGGTTGCATTATAAGTTCAACTAGTAACTTGCTTAGATTGCACTTATGGACTCACTTCTTTTTTAAGTCAGGTTATGCACTATGCTCGTTTGTACAGATCAAAAGTTTGCATAAAAATATTATATTATATTCTAAGCAATCTTTGAACTTTGATTTCAGATACAGTCCATGTCGAGCATTCAAAATGGAATTGAATGAGGTAAACGATCAGGCAGGACAGAGGGAGGTGATCGCGGAGAATTTGCAAGCAAACGTACTAAGGGAATTGAATATTCTCGTAAAGGATTTTAAGGAGGATCGTAAAAAACATCTCCAAGAAGGGGCCAGATTAATGGCAAATCTGACCGGTCAGATTGGAAATTTGGAGCGTGCTAGGAAAGCGTACGAAAAAGCTTTTCGTGAGGCGGAAAGAGCAGTTGAGAATTATCAGAGAGCAGATGCTGATTTGAACCTTTCAAGAGCGGAAGTAGGTGGATGTTTTTGATCCATTTTCACCTTTGCACCCTGAAAACTTATAGTTAATTCTCTATAAGTGAAATTTATTCTGCTTATGAAGAAAGAAGTTTTAATTTTTAAGTTTTTTAATCTGAAACTTGAAAATTAATAATTATTATGAATAAATGTAATATCAATACAAGAAATATCAATACAATAAAATAATAAACAAATAGAAAAAAATTTTAAAAATACAAATATTATATAATATAAATATATAAATATATAACTTTATATAATATATATAACTTTATAAATCACGTTATAGAGGATTAACTTGAATAATGTTAATTCTGGATGAACATTGATTCTCTAAATAACTTATTGAGAAATAAAAGTTGCATGGTTAGTTAGCCAAACTTTACATGATTTATCTTATTCTTAGGTCGAGAAGCAGAGGATGAATATGACTTTAAAAACTCAGCAGAGTGAGGAAGCCAAGACAGAATATGCGAATCAATTGCAGAAAACGAATGACATGCAAACATTGCATTATCACACGGCTATGCCAGAAGTGTTTCAACATCTTCAGGTATAACATATATATTTGTTCCATTATTATTGAGTAAAATTTATCTTTTGAAAAACTTTTTATATAATTTTAACACTCTATATATCTTGTTATAGGAGCTTGATGAAAAGAGAATAAAAAATATGCGAAACTACATGCTAAAGTCTGTGGAAATAGAACGAGCTGTGGCGCCAATAATCGCTCAATGTTTAGACGGTATTGAAAAAGCAGCAAACGAGATCAATGAGAAAAAAGACACATTATTGGTAATCGAACGTTACAAAAGCGGTTTTCAACCTCCAGGAGATTTTCCATTCGAAGATCTTTCTGTGGCTAAAACATATGATAGCAATAGTCAGTTATCACAGCCTGTAATGCAACCAATACACAATCATCATCTGACAGTGAAGGGTACTGTTTCTGGTAGTAAAATTAAGAAGAGGGTTGGGCTGTTCGGCATATTTAGTAGCAATAAGGTAAATGTTGTTCATAACATTTTACCAATTAGTAGTTCTAATTTGTGTTACAAATATGTTTGTGAAAGGAGCATTTGTTCAATCGTTTTTTTTTTTTTTCTCTTTTTCTGTCTAAAAGTGTAAGAACGTTAAAAGTAAGAACAAAAAATAGTTATAATATGTGCACGAAATGTCCCTTTGTCTTACTTTTGTTTCTTTTTTTTTTTTTTTTTTAATTGTTATTCGAATCGCATATTTGCACTATTGTCGAAAAATAAGTTTGTTATATGCATAGATTTTCAATAGCATGAGTGATTAGTACAATTTAAAATTTTTTTTTAAGCGATTGTGTTATTGTTAAATTCTTTTTCCTTTTATCTTGTGCATTAAGGCGAAAAGAACACAACACATATACCGATTCGATTTAGTTCGACCAATAGTTTACTTAGCATCGCGCCAATTTTCGCGAGGCCAGCATAACTTATCTTTCTTCTGTACTTTTTATTAATTTGGTGGATGGTTCGATCTGCCTGTGTGGTCTCTTGTTTCCAATCATCCGTGGACTATGAATTTGGATACTGTTGTACTTAGTAAGTACACTACAAATCGCTTCTTCGCCTGCCACTGTGTAACATCAGCATTTTGTTCTGCATCGAGATATGTATCAGTAATTATGTGCATTTGTTAGATTTGTCTTTGTTGGTCGAGTACAAACTCAGAAATTTGCATTGAAACAGTAAACATTTCCACGTATTGCAATAATTGTTTGTCATATTTCCTTTGCTGAGTTTTTACTCAACGCTATCGCCTGAGATCCCATTTTTTTCTGATTCATTCGCCGAATGATACGCTTTTGGAATTTGTTTCATGCGAACAACAGAAGTTGATCGAGGTGGGCATAGCTTTGAAGGTCTGTCTATTTCTTTATGGTCGTCATTGTTTTTTCACATGACAGTCCTTATTGACAGAATCCCACTGTTTTTTCTTTATGAAATACTTGTCTTCTACTTTGTCTTTATGTATATATTTTTTTATTTTATTGATAGTTTGTTGGGCTCTAAGAATGCTCCTGATAATGACGCATAATGCCGCGTCCACATTGGCCAAAACTGTACGCATCCATGCGATTCATCGAGTTTGAAAAACTGCGAACGAGTTAATTATAAAAATATTTCAACTCACACAGGTTCTGAATTCGCGACCTACTTGCGAACTGTTCGTGAACAGTGTGGACGTGGCAAAATATAATTGGTAAAAGTTGTTGAATTTTGTGTTTGTTAACTTTGAATTGGTAAAGTAGAATTAACTGTACTATCTATGATGATTACGTGCTTTCTTCTCTTTTGTTTTCCATCATAATTCATTAGATTTTTCGTCATTCATTTTTGAAACTTGGATACTTAAATTCAAACATTCCAGAATAATGTGCCCGGATATGGTGATGGTGCGAAGGAGGACTGCAGCGATCTACCACCGAATCAACGCAAGAAAAGACTTCAACAAAGGTTGGACGAAATTCAAGCAAAAATTCAACAAGAGACTGCGGCAAGGGATGGTTTGATGAAGATGAAAGGGGTATACGAGCAAAATCCTGCATTAGGCGATCCAATGAGCATAGAAGGACAGTTAAATCAATCTAGCAACAAACTGGATAAACTCGGTGCAGAATTGGCAAAATTCCAAGGTTATCTCGAAGAAGCAATGCGCGCCGGAGTTAGTTTATCCAGGTAATTTTTTAGAAATTTTATAGATTCTTTTCATGATCTACTTATCGTTAGTTTATGATTTGATCTTGTATAATTTAAAATTTCTAGTCCCAGTCAAGCACCACGAAAACCAACTAGTAATGGTTCTGCAACAAGACCGCTGAGTTCAAGAAGATCCAGTCATTCGGGAGGAGAAGAAAGTCTTTCAAGATCAGCATCTGATTCCAGTGTAAGCAATGCGAATGCTAATCAACCGATACATAAGAAAAGTGCTCCGGGTACGCCGCAACCGACACATGGGTAAGTTTTAACTAATCATTGGATTAATTATATTTTGGATTCTACTGATTTATAATCGAATTGTTTACGGATTTCATTTAGGATTTTATGTGATAGTTTTTTTTTTTTTTTTTTTTTCATTAAATAAAGAAAACGATGATAATGATGAGTTTTGAATAAATCAGTTCTAAATACAGATTAGAATTTTTAACTAGACCAATTAGACACGCTTTTCGCTTTACGGTACTGATGCACAGTTCCACGAATAGCCCGGAATCTGGTCTTGGAGAATCGAGGACATCCCTTCCTGGTAGTGGTGGCGAAGAATATTATGTTGATGAAATTGATGCTCAACCACCATTAGGAACATGTAGGGCTCTTTATCCTTTCGATGGTAAATATATATCGTCAACAATTTTATAATAATAATAATAATGTTTATTTTTAATAATAATCTGGAAAATATAAATATAATATGAATATAAATTAAAAATTGTTATATGTTTTTAGCAACTAGTGAAGGTTCTATACCAATGTATGATGGAGAAGAATTATATATGATTGAATTAGATCAAGGAGATGGATGGACGCGTGTACGGCGTATTTCACAACCAATCGAAGGCTTTGTACCTACATCTTACATAGAGTGTCATCTCTATAATACTTAGCCATTTCTTTTAGGACGTTAAACAATTGAGAAGTGGGGAAATTTCAAGATTATTTATGCTATTAGTTCAATATGATGGTATACTGAACGATTAAAAATAGCAATTCACAAAAATTGGAGGTTCTATGTTGAGGATTTGGTGTTGATTGAATGGCACTAGTTTTCAGAATGTATTCTGGTCAAATCATGGGTCTAATCCCATAAAAATGTCATTGATATAAGTGAAAATTAATATGTGCCAATACTTTGATTTTTGGGAGAAAATCTCATGACTCATCAAAGATTCAGTCAATTGTTCACCCAACATACCTCTTTTTAGCTTCTATCAAGTTTATTGAACAAGAAAGAACAAAGAGAAAATAAGTTTCATTTTTAATATCTAATTTCTTTTATACAAAAGTGATCAACACGTTCAACTCACTTAAATATTAAATATAGTAAGAATAGTAAGATCCTACAACTATTTAGAATGCTGTTATGTCCAATCGTTTTAAAGAGATTTTGTCATACAGTACATTTTTCTAAGAAAAATGCTAAAAGCACCCTGATCATTTGAATAACTCTAAAAATATGTTTCTGTAATTTAGATATGCACAAGTGAACAATTTGCAACTTCATTATTGAAAGTATAATAAAAATAACAAATATCTGTCATATAATACACATACACATATATGTATAACATATGCTCCGCCTACATGTCACGGATAAAATTACGATTGTTGTAATGACATGAAGATTTATGTATTTTTTTTTTTTTTTTATTAATTTTGTTGTAAAGCAGGCAACTCACGAATAGATTCACACTATCTCCGCTGAAGTTCAAGAAACTGTTCAATTTCAGTGTTTTTAGAATAAATTTTTATCTAAATGATTTATATATATATTACAAAAAATGTTTATTTGTTTTAATATATCAATATTTGTTTCTTGCTTTTGCCGATGATAGGAAGGTGATGTCGCTTCTTTACAATTATTTTTGAGTCGTTTTTTGACTTTTATTGTTATATAAGTATATTAATTGATGTTAGNTTTTTTTTTTTTTTTTTTTTTTTTTTTTTTTTTTTTTTTTTTTTTTTTTAATGCAACTAGAAGGTGATTAGGTGGTGCTCTGTACAGCAAGTAGATTCCGAGTATTGATCGGCTAAGTTTTGTTTATGATATTGCCTGGATGTGAATTTAGTTAAGATATATTGTGTACATATTGCAAGGGATATGGGAGGAGAAACAAAATGTATGGTACGTGTGTGAGTGCCAGGTTCGATACGTATCGTGCGAAGTGATGAATTATTTCCATTGCATATAAATACGAAATAGTGATGTTGAATTATTATTTTTTTTCCCCCTTTTTTTTATAAATATAAAAAAAACGTCTCTATTTCGGCATTTTTGGAAAAAATTCTTAGCTTCTCAGTTACAAAGCTAGATTCGTCCTAGATTCGATTGCGATGTATCAAAATCGTGTAGTCGTATATATCGCGTATTAAAAATATGTATATGTATATATATAAAATCTATAATCACTCATTAAAGTATAGTCTCGGTATATAAGGTACGAAAGTACATAAATTAAATAATATCATAGCCTTTTTCTCAGCCGCGATTGTTGCCTATTTGGTGTAATTTCTTTGACTCTTTAACATACGATTTTACTGTAAGTTTTGCTGCATTTTGCAATCGATCGTAAACATGCGCCTCGTGTTTTCACGATTTTTTATAATTTATCCTTAATCGTCAAAGAATAAGCATCGAGAATTTTTAGATTTTGCGAGAGTCGACAGTATTTTCGCATGCGGTCTTTGATGTTGATAGAAAATTAATCGCAATACTTTTTGCTCGTTGATAGGCTGTATCACTTTATAAAAGTGAAAAGAGAAAATCATTAGATAACGATGAAAAGAAAAAAGAACGATATCCTTACGTCTACCTTAATTCTTAACATTCAACTGCGTCCATTCTATGTATATTTTGTGATTTTATATCCATGAACAAGTATTGTAGATAATTAACTCCGTGACTCATTATACGTTTAATTATTATTATTATTATTATTATTATTATTATTATTATTATTATTATTATTAATTATTATTATTATTATTATTAATATTGAAAAAATATAACTACTAAACTAATATAACGTAATAAACATTTTTTTTATAATATTAATATGCAAATCCAACATATCCGTTTATTATTCTTTTTTATATTTTTTTCAATCATTAAAAGGAAAGTGAATTAGAGGGAAAAGCAAAGAAGAAATGTATTTCTTAAAGTATATTATAACTTTCGCGGACAATTGACTAGATCAGAAATACAGAGCAATACATTCTGATACTTGTTGTGCATATACATAGAACTACATTACAATTAGTATATAATACAATTTAATACATTTTACATATTGTTTATATAAATTAAATACAATCTTGTTCTTGTAAAATTCTTGCACGTATCTAAGCAAAAAAAGAAAAAAAAAATCATGAATTTTTGTATATTATAAACAGTATACTGAATTTATATGTTTTATTTTCTTCTCTTTCTCTTTAATGCTTTTATAAAATTAAAATTTATGGCGAAGATGTTAGCATTAGATCGCCTATAAATTGGCAGTCGTACGATTTATTATACAATATGTACGTCGCAATATGTCAAGTCCACGCATAAAAAATAATAAAACATATCTTAAATATACAGGATACTTATTTGGAGTTAGTAAAAATATAGTAGTAGATCGAATCGACAGCTCGCAATGTTATATGTACTTACATGGATCACAGCATTGCGTGGGCCAAATGAGCGAGCAGCAGAATAACATCTAAAAAAATCCACACGGTACAAAACGAGAGTAAAAGAAATGACAATCGATCGCTATCCACGAGATCAATAAAAAAAGTTCCAGGTACGCGGCAAATCTATCTTTAAGTACAGATTATGAAAATCATCAATTAAAGAATATTTTCTGATCATTTTTGCCGCTTATCGTCACACCTGTTATCGCTCAGTCGTATGATATTTTATTACTGTACAAAATACTTGCTTTTGTTCTTAATTCGCTTAACAATATGTTAGCGAACTTTCGAACAATTTCAGTCAATAATAATGGAAGCAAACTACGTCCAAATTGGACGATTATTCGACGATTATTAACTGCTTTGGCAGATTTTATTGTTTTCTTTGAGCTATAGATTCATTTCAAATAGTAAGATCTTCCCATTCTTCGACTTGTCGAGGCGTTAATTCAATTTTAATTCGGGTCAAAGTACTGAGTAAATCGTGCATCCTTGCTGTTAACGGGTTGGCTTGAAGATCAATAAATTCTAACGCAGGAGCATGCCTGAGTCTTTCGATATCTATGTCTAAAAAAATAGAAAGTATCGAAATTATAATATTTATGCATTATTTGAACATTTCTTATATAATATAAAAAATTAAGATTTACCAATGATAGAATTGTTGTTGGCAAGGAGCCGCTTAAGTTGCGGTATCCGACATGTAACGGGTGGCAAAGCAATAAAAGTATTATGCGAAATGTCCAACCTTTCTAATGCTTGTAATTCAGCAAGTTCCTCTGGTAGTTTGCTCATTTGATTATGACTCAGGTTCAAGTCTAGAAACGATTACGTGTTTGAATTTGTATTACAGTGATACCTTTCAGCTAATAAATAAAAAAAAAAAAATAAAATTTTTTCAAATAATTGAAAATAAGATTATAATAAAAATGATAAAACTTATTAACAAAATAATTCAATAATAATTTGGTATTATTATTAATTAACTTACCAGTGATCAATGAAAATTTGATTGCAAATTTTGGTGGAATTTTTGTTATTACATTTCCAGATAGATTACATCTTTTTAATTCTGTATGTCTCATTAAATGATAAACTGCATCAGGTACTTGCATCAACTGGCATTCTGATAGATCTGAAAAAATAAAATATTATAACATTAATAAGTATTATATAATAATTTTGTTTAAGACATGAAAAAAAATTTAATCAAAATTTATTTGTAGTAAATTAATTGACATGTTATATATACATTTTAAAAACATATAATTTTTATAAATAATATATTATTAGATACATATATTTTAATCACATAGAACATAATGATATGTTCAATTTTCACAATTGGAGCACGGACACATTGTATTCATCCGTATTGTGATCTTGACAGATCAGCTGTCGAACTGGGTCAGTGTATCAATATTTCATGATGATAACGATAGAATTTTGTTCACTTTTCAAATATTACCATTGCTCGGTAATCTTAAAATTGTATATCAACTTCAATTCAATTCATTAAGTAAAAACTGCACTCAAAAAACGGGAAATTTTAATAAAAGCACACAATTTTTTATAAAACCCGCGATGCACCTGTAGCAGCAAAAACTAGGTCATGAACTAGATTAAAATATCTACAATAATAATTTAATTTAAACAAACTAGACAAATTTTTACAAGAATCATAATTTGGTTAGTTTAGTAAAGTATTTTCTTAAATATATATATTTTTTGAAAAATGATTTACCAAGATTGTTAGTTTCTTGTGCATCTTCGCAGCGCAAGACTACTCTCGTGACGGCGTTCGCCATCTTGCTGAGGCAAACTGACTTAAGTTGGACGTTTCGCCACCTTAATATGAAACATTTATTTTCGACGAATTTCAGAAATAAATAGTACTTGCTAGATGATTTTGGCATTCATTCTACTTTCAGAAATTTGTACTGCGACATAATGACGTAGAAATCGAAGACAATAATATTCGTAAAATATATTTAATATATTTTGATATTCTAAATAACCATAAATTTTTAATGATCAATTAAATTTATCAATATTTAATTTGAATTTTAATAAGTATCGAAAAAATTTTAAATATATTTCAGTAATGTGAAAATAGATGCGGGATACTCGCTTGTTTGATATTGCGCTAAAATTTTTGTCGCCATTTTTCAGGCGCCTGCGCATTTAGTTTTAACTTTGTCAAGTTTTTCAGTGATTCAAGTTCAATATATTTTTCTATTTTATATTATTCAAAACATTTACTTACGATTTAAGTTGATTAATTTTATTGTTGAAACAATTGTAAATAAAATATAATCATTGATATAATATAAAATAAAATATTATACATATTTCTATTGTAATTTGATGGGTAGGTACAGGTAACTGCCAAACATTTGAAAACTTCGTTATCCTATCTTTTCAATTAACAAACTTTTTTATATTTCTCTATAAATTTTAATAATATATTCTTTATAATTCATATTCTTTTAAACCAAAAGATTTTTAATATCATTAAGTGAAATATTCGATTATGTTTTATTGTTTTTAGTGACAGTAACGATAACTTTTTACTATAAAGTAGTAAATGGCTTTGGTAGCAAGCTACCATTTAAGGTTACGTTTCCATACATGGTGGCGCCTTACGTACCTGTATTCATGTAGCATACAATGTATATACACTCGTATTTTATCGTATGGCTATGAAAATATACGATATTGTTCATATTTTGCACACAGAAAATAATTTTCAATATTAAAAATTTAAATATAAATAAGTAATACAATGTTTTATAAAACATAAATTTCATTTTATACTTTAGATAAATAATAGTAAAAGAAATTAAATATTTACATATTGTGTATCAATTTTTTATGTTCATGCATCTATATAACAAAAAATTTAAACAATGATATTTTATTTTTATTCAAAAAAAAATAATGGATAAAAATATAAAAATATATATAAAATAATTATAGTATTTTATTACAAAAAAATCGAATTTGATTATATTCAAAACTAATTAAATAATTATTAAGTAACTGTTTAGTAGTTCATTAACACTTTGTCGTGGATGCATGTAAAAAAGATCAGGAAGAAGAAACGATTCTTAAACGGTATGCAAAGCACGAGCATTTACTTTGCTAGGACTTCGTGACGATTCACTATTCCGAGATTGACCTTTTGTGCACACGACTGCCTCCAAAACGCGCAAGAGATCTTTCCTATTGATGAACTGTTGAGTCACAGATTGATATATCGCACAATAATATCAATAGTCAATATAAAAATGTGAACAATCTTAAAATATTTTCAAAAATGTATATATATTATATATATTTTTCTTTTTTTTACTTTTTTTTTACTATTTATACATTTTATTATATTTTTACATATAATAAACATATTAAATTACATGCAAATATATATATAAATATAGCATAATAATTATGCATAAATTTAAGATAAAATTTTATTGATAAAATTTTACGTTTATCTGTATTATTGTAAGAAAATTAAAAGAAATCATTAAATTTATATAGTTTTCTATCACTTATATTAGTTACTATTATGAAATAGTAAAATAAAATTTTTCTTCTAGTACTCAAATAATTTGGACGATATAATTTCGATTGTATCCTTTAAGCTGTGTTCACAAAAACAAAATATGCTCACGCACGAACAATTTGCAACATGTTCGGATCGATGAATAGCTTAAGGAACAAAGACCGGATATGAAAGTTACGCAACACAATGTTTATCCAACCAATTATCTATGCTAGAACCTGGAGTGAACATTTCACTTTTATTCGAATTGATGCACGAATCACACTACCGTGATGAGGAACACTACCACCTGTTACGTATGCTTGTCTAACATGCTGTATTAACATTATATATTTTTATATATTTAATAAGTTGATGTTATAATTCTTATACACTATCGAAAAGCAATATCATGTCAATAAAAATAAAAAAAAATTTAGAAATTATATATAAATTCAAAATACTTTTAAAAAATTTATTCATGTTAAATTTAAAAGAATATAATTAAAATTAAAATTAATTGATAATTCCTGATATACAATATAGATTGTAATCAATCATGGAAAAAAATATTATTATTAGCCTAACAAAAAATATTTCTTCTCAAAGATAGTTAACAAGTGTTATTACAGAGACATACATTCGGACGTAGAGTGACTCCTTGAATGTGGCTGCCAAGTGCCTCTCGCTCTCGTTTTCTCCGCTTCGAGACTTTCGCCAGTTACCGATTAGAAATCTTATGTTTATTTTTGACGGGTTAATAATAGTATTTTTTAATCGTGTTGCAGTGAAAAGGAAAAAATTACTAATAAACCAACACAAGAAAGTTCGAACAAAATAATTAACAAACAAAAGAAGAATAAAAAGTCAAAGATTGATCATTCAGATAAGGAAAGATCAAGTTAAGACAAAGCTGGATGAAGCGACATTAAGGAAGGTCTCAAATCTATCCGGATGGACGGATAAGGCAAGGACTGAGACCCGTTCTCTCTTCCAGATTGAATCAGGAAGCGAATCGCGTGATCCACTATAATGCTTTGAAAGCAAACATTGATGTAGAAGATATCGATTGATTCCTTGTTTTAAAATTCCTTCGCAACAATATCTACTGAAGTTAATTTGTCACGGTAGTCTGAAAATCTAACTCGTCAGTCGAAACAACGAATCAAGGCCAGCCAGACACACATATCAAGTTGCCAACTGTATTAGTCCTCTAATCGAACACATTCTAAGATCGTTTAATGGCACATATGTATTAATTTAATTCATACTGTACGTAATTTATCTTCTCCCCTGGAGACATAACAATTAATTATCTCCACATGAAATAAGCTCTTTATGGTTTGTATAAACAATATAATTTATATTGTAAACGAATATCAAAATGCTTTTATTATTTTATATTTTTATTAATGAAGTTATTTTTATTTCCTGAACATAATAGGGAATTAAGAATTATGTTACCGGCGAATTGAGAGTGAATTATATCAGAAGAATAAATGTATTATAATGTATTATAAGAAACCAGGCAAAGTTTAATTGGGCTACGTAAGATTTGCGGTTCATTTGCATGTTTACTTATTTGAAGAAAAATTTAATGAAACCGATTAAGAAATAATTGTCGATCAAATACAAATCTAGTTTAGAAGTGATAAGGAATCAAAGGAGATGACGAAAAACGATTAATCTGAGTTAAGTTTTCACAAAAAGCATATTTTGTATTGTTCGATATCTTATCTAAATTTTTATCATCTGTGACTAAAACTACGCAGTCCATTATACGGATTGTTTTATTTCATGAACATTCATTTCGTTATTTTCTTTTTTCGATCGCATAGCAGATGCAAATCCACAACAGAACATAAATTTTAGGGTTATATATAATTGAAACATAAACATTATTCAACAAATGTTTCGACATGTTTCTTTTCCCGAATGAAATCTTCAGCTGAGCGAAAGTGTAATACCTCAAACGCGGAAAGATATCGTACCGTAGAAAGTACTAAACGCGAAGGAAACAATTACGTTTCGCTAACCGATTTTATCCAGTTTATCGATACAATTGCGCTAATAGAAAAGATGCATCACTTATACTTTTTTTTATTATTTCTTTTCTCACTTTTTTTTTTATTTTTAAAAGTATATGTTATTTTTTTTAAGAAAAAACTATATTACTTTCTACAAACGATCTTCCAGCAATTTTTGTTTAATTTGATCAACGAACAAATCAAAATTTTATTGGTGTTAAAACATTGATACAATGATAGATTTGACCTACCTAGATTACAATTGTCCTGTGCCTCTTCGCACCGGGAAACTACCCTAATTATCGCCCGGCCCGCCAATTGAACACAAACAGCCATAGCCACGTTTCTCTCTCCTTGTTCCTGAGAAATTTGTTCCATATCGTCTCCATTGTACGCGGGTGGTCTCATCTCTTCTGCTCTACTATTTACGTCAAACGTGAAAAATCTTTGTGAAGTTTAAACGAAGGAATTTTGAATTCTGTCTATTCGAACGATCACTGAATCTCTTCCAATTACAATCAAGTTTTCCAATTACCGTCAAACTTTTTTCACAGTGATGAAGAAGCACACGCTCTTACAGTTTCTTCTTCAAAGTTATCAATAGCACCCTCGATTCTCTTCACTTCTTCTTCAGACATCAAGAAACTATCATGTTTCGAGACGCAAGCTTTGATCATACACAAGAGAAGATTTGAAACGCACAAGGTAACTCTCTAAGCATATATAATTTATCGTTTCTAGATCTGAATCTTTAGCGTCGTCGTCGCAAATTGTTCTCGTTATGTTTTATCGAGGAAACAATGATAAAAAGTTGGCTTCAAGAACATCGACGAATCGATCACGTCGTCAGACGAAATCGTTATTTTCCTCGATCTTTCACAAAACCACGAGATTTCCGCGATTTTCTGTTTTTCCGCGTTCGAGAGACTCTCAAAAGATAGCGGAAAAAAGTATCGCAATGAGAGTATTTGAGGTGACGCTGGCTGGCACTAAAGTGCTGAACTCCACGCGGTGCTATTTAAGCCTTCGTCGCGGGGTCTCCCACCAAAGATGCATCTCGGATCAGCTGACTACTTTGTTTCAACTCCCTCTCTTTGTTTGAAAACAACTGTAGAAACCACGTACGCATATTCACCGCCAGGTGCACTCGGCCTGCAACCTGTCGAAATTGGTGTTAGAGTTTTCACGAACGTGCGACTCAAGGTTCCCCGTTAACAGAGCGCGTGGTTTTGTTTCAGTGCCTCCTCCGTTGTCATTGTCGACGAAGAAGGAACAAGACAAGGAAAAAAAAAGATAGACGTGCTTTAAACAGCGAGATCTTTTCGTGGATCGACTTCGGTGGACCCCGACTTTTCCGCGTTACGCTTCTTAAGAGTCGAATTACGTTGAACGCGGCATTGAAGTTCCTTCAGTACAGAAATAGGCAGATAAATGCAACTACTCGAAGGTCTGCTACACGCCGCACAGACGGAGTAAATCTGCGAGCAAGATTGACGGAAACAGGAAGGGACCGTCGCAGGGAGAAGCGTAATATTCGGCGCAGAAGTTCTCGCGGAACGGGATGACTCATCTAATTGCACGTATTCTATCGGGATTGAGATTCTTTTGATCGTGGCTGCACTCGAAAGGGACCTAGATTTCGTGCGTGTAAGTTTGGAAAGCGTCGGCATGATTTATTTCCTGCCGACGAGCTCGATTACGAGCTTCCAAATTCTATTTCTCTTTCGACTCTTTCGCCTTTTTTAATTAATTCCAAGTTTCTTTCATCTATAATTCATGACACGTTAGAATGTTTAGATATCGTAGGAACAGTGGCGATACAATTTTTCATTTTACACTTACCATACTTATCCATACGTCCGAATCCTCTTATGCAATGATATCGGGTCGGTGGGAAAGTAATGTCGATTTCGTGAGTATAGAAATAAATTAATTTATCGTTGTATATATTCTTATACACATTTTTCAAATTATTTGAATTTTTGTGTTTTATAGTTTCTTAATAAATGTCTTTTTTTTTTTTTGTGTGTTTCCTAAGATATTTGCTAAGAATTCATTCATAGTTTTATCATTCAGTTTTATAATATTATTTTGTATGTAACTTGAAATTCAATTAAATTTGATATATTTATTTCAAAAATATGATATATCTTTTTCAGAAAGAATTTTATTTATATATCTTTATCAAATTCATATAATGAATTTTTATGAGCAATATAAAAATACAAGTTGTTTTGTCTTATACACTATATTGGCTGTAAAAAAGTGTTTGTATATTAGTAGTAGTAGTTTTAAACATATATTGCAGCATATTAATTACTTAAAATACAAATTTATTGAATTTCATATAATTTAATAATATTTTTATTCGATAAAAAAATTTGATATTATAAAATAAGAGTATGTACAAATATTTTTTTTTTTTTTTAACCATTGTATAACTGCTAAATCTACATCGAATTTTAATTTCAGACGAGAATAGAATAATATTTCATAAAATAAATTTGAAGTTGTTTATCTTACCAAAATCAAAATCAATATAAATTTTCCACCAACTCAATATAAAAGCGAGTATAATTTTCTACACGCATAAAAAGGAAATGGAGGAAAAAAAATTCTACAGTGGAATAAGAAATTATTATACAACTGCCTCTATGGACGATTCTTCGATTCGGTCTTCTGGATATTTTATTCGTTTTATTTTTCCTATGTATATATAGTTATACATAGATATATATATATATATTTGATCATGTCGTTACATAAATGTGCAATTAGTGGCGCAGCTCGTGCGAACGAGGAAGCGAACGAAACTAGCAAAAAATAATCGTTTTAAATATATTTCTATCCCGCTTTTAGTTCGGTCAAATCTTTGTTCGAGTAGTTCCGTTCACCTTTTCATTCGTGTTCGCGAAATATTCACGTCGTCCAAAACCAAGGTCAAAAATACGACGAACCATTCGTTCGGCACGATGCCTACTGCGCCATTGCAAATGCTCATTATTAGCTATCATCGATCTTTTCCAGCGGTGATCCGGTTTCAGATATTTTCTTTTTTTCTTTTTGTATATTTTTGGAAACAGCACGATACAAAAATGTTCCACTTAACAATTGGATTGGCACACGTGTTAATTCAGCAAATCATTAAAAATAGTCTTCCCTTCTCAAATAATTTTTTTAAAATGGGCTATAAAAAGTAAGTTGATTAAATTAAATTATATTCTTGTTATTTCGTATTATATTTAATAATAGAAATTTGTAATTTTCTGATAAAAAAACAATATTGAACATTTCCTTGGTAAAAATATGAATCAAAGTGTACAATACAATTGATCATTTCTTAAGTGACAAGATTTAAAAGAAGAGGCTGATACATATAGATACATGCATCGTCGCTATAATAAACAGCGTTGAGCATCTGGAAGAACTGGCAAATATTTTACTTTTTCAGACGAAAGAGAACATTGAATACGCGTGTTGGCCGACGTCGCGAGATCGAGAAACGTATTCATTTCGCTGCATTAAAACAATATATTTCTACTCCTTTCTCTCGAAAGAATCTCATATTCATCCAATCACACGGTATTCTGAAAAAAACGAAATCTTTCTGACTCATCGTTACCGATCGTATCGAATGTTCTCATTTAACAGCAAAAAGAAAAAAAAAAAAAAANAAAAAAAAAAAAAAAAAGAAGAGAAGAAAGTACATCGAATCTGCAATCTACCTCTATCTCGAAAGCAATCGCGAATAAATGTGCGAAAGGATCTGTTTTTTCTTGATAGGAGATTTTTTTGCTCTCCATTCATCGTAGAGCCTAGTATCCCAACAGGGATAAAATGTTTATACGATTCTTCGGTATGTTTGGCACGTGGCCAGAGGATACTGCGCGTGCATTTCATGGACGAGAATAGATTTGCGGGCCAAAATCCCCCATGACTTCTTAGTCGTCGTATTCGTATTGACTCTTGCATGAACATACGCGAGATAAAAGCTACGCTACATCGTGAAAGATCGATGCACGCGATCCGTGCACGTGTATGCCCTCTCTTTCTCTATTCGCCTTCACGCGATTTCATTTTTTTCTCTATACATCTATTCATTCTCTATACACATGCACATTACATATGTACATATATCAGTAAAGAAGATTTTCATAGCCTCTTAACGTCTGAATCCAATTTAATCATTCTTAATCTTTCATCTTTTTAATTTCATAATCAATTTCAATAATAGATCCGGAACATCAATATATTATATTGTTCTTTTTAAATTTAATGACTTAGTATTTCCAAAACGACGCGCAATTTTATATCCAGTTAAGATTCTGAGTTTACGCCAACTGTGATTTGCCAACACATGACAGAAAGAAACATCGTGTTCCACGAATAATCCGCGCAACAAACTTTTATGAACGCTGGGAAAAGCCGTGTGCGAAAGGAATCACATGGATATGCGTTGGTGGTTTGGAATTGTTCGTTGATTCGCAATAAAATAAAAAAAAGAAAGAAAACGAATAAAATCCAAATCGTTGGAAGTTTTATATTACAGGCTATCTTCTTTCTCGTACTTTTACGGTGCATTTCGCGATTATAATGAGCGGAAAATCTTTGTCAAACGTCTCCGTTTGACCGCGAACGTTGGCCCTATAAAATCTTTGGCTCTGACGTAGATTTCTTTGTGCACTCGCAGATTATTGCGTCTCCGTTTTTCGAGTATTTTCATATTTACCGAGAATTCGGATGTTTTACGTAGCTTGAACGAACGGAAACGTCGTCAGTAACTATAGAGCATCAATTCAATTTCGCTTTTATTCGTATATATATATTTTTCGTTGGACGAATGAAATATTTTCAATATTTATAGCATTGTTTAGAATAATAATATAATTTCAAGAGAAAATAATTGCATAGGAAACAATTCTCGCTAATTATTATCCTGAAATAATATAAGTAAAAATTATTACTGAACAATCTATATTAATCTTTTTATATTCATTTTATATACTAACAATGAATTGCAATATCTCATAAAACTACGCTACATCGATATTTTGATGTAGTGTTATCTATGGATGGAATTCTATCTTTATCATATATTTCATTCATATTCTTGTGTAGATAATATTCGTATTAATACTTGATAAATTACTTGCAATTCATGCATTTCATTGAAGCTAATTTACAATCAAATAAAACAATAAAAAAAGAAAATCTATTCTTGAATGTTTGAGTTTAATAATCGATCTTAAATCACTATATTATTATTGAAGAGAATAATATCTATTCTGTAAAGCTATATACTATAATTAAATACCTAATTGCCCATTACCTTATGCTTAAACTCAAGACACTATTTTCCCGTATTTATTATTTTAATCGTTCTATAATTATTTACCTAAACCGCTGAAAATATTCTAAGCGTAAACACAGTTGGTATATATTGTACTCTGTTCTCTACAAATATACGTAAAATCTGTAAATACAAGTCTTAATTTTTGGTGTTCTCTGGTAAACTATGAAAGTATCACGGTAAAATTTACGAGTATTATCTCGAGATATTAACATGAATATCGCTGCACCATTTAAAGAGAAATTTCGAAACACGCATATAATACATACAATTATAAATATATATTATAGATCCCTAAACGGAATTATAATTGTTCAAATTCGATCAATGATTCGATCAATATTTAGTTTAATTTAAATTGAAGTAAAATGAAGTAAATTTGAATGTAAGAAGTGAAAGAATATATATAATATATCTTGGCTTCTTCTCTAATAATAAAACTTAAATCTATTAAGATTCCTTATTTCTTTGAGATCGATCTAATACTTCTTGCGCGTGTTGTAATCCGGCACAATAATGCAATAATAAGACACTCAGTGCTTGCACACGTAAATCACTTTGTGCAATCAATTTAATACTGTCCATTTCTCCACTTTGTGATAATTCTAATCTTGAGGTAGTTTCGGCATCGAGCGCAGTTTTAAGCTTTCCCATCTATATTGAAAAAAACGATTAAATATAATATTTGTATTTCATTTATATCTTTAAAATTCATTTTTATCTTTACCATAGTATTAATCTTTTCAACACGTTCTTGAGGCTCCAAATGTTTGTACAGAAACTTGCCGGTATCTTTAGCCCTAGACATAAGACCATCATCCAAATCCCCTGCTACTAGAGGAGCTGCCACACTTGGCTCAGCACCCTCCAAGAGATCAGGACTTATGCCCAAGCCTCCGACCAATGAATTCTAAATGTTTCAATAATTTGATCAGATACATTGGAGCATAATATTCGATTTTTAGATCTTGTCCCTATGAAATAAATGCACCTACCTTTGATTGATATGATAATAAACGTGTAAAGAAAGCATCGTTTATTGCACTATTAGAAATTGTAATAATTATACAGCATCAATACAACGATATTTTATATAATAAGCATGATGATTCAATGTGCATCTGCATATCTGTTACTTCAACATAACAATTAGTGCCATAAGAAATAAAAAACATAGTCGTTTGCAATAGAAAGTAAAAGCTCATATAAGAGTTTTCAAAACGTTGCACGAAAGATTGAACGCGAAGCGAATCAAATAATATAAGCTTTAAAATCACAATCAATATAATCATAAGCGTGTTTTCTGCCCCCTACAATTGCTGGTATATATAAAAGAATAGGACAAAGAATAGAAATAGAGCAGAGAAGGCCTGAAATTACATTTTGATTTAATCACAATTGATGAATTATTAATAGCTAATATAATTATTATTAGTAAAACGATCAATATGATCCTTCTCTGTTCCAACTGAACAAATTTGTGTTATTAAATTCTACCTTGCGGGATGCACAGGGACTTGGGGGAAGACTTCTAGATGCCAAACCAGTACCGGAAGCCGGCGGGGCCAAGCAACTGGTACTTCCAGCCTTCTTCAGGCCCAATAGAGTATTAGCTATACTAGCCTTCATGGCCATCATAGTTGCACCCTGATTAATTGATTAATGGATTTCAAATTTATTAATAATTTTATTTATCTAATTATAAAAACCAATAAAAGAAAGAAAAACAAAATATACAAACAACCGTGCCCTCAATCTCGCTCTTGATTATTTAATGTGTAAAAGGTTAAATTAGTTTATTAGACAATAATAAAGCAAATAATCTATTCACTTACAAAACTCATAAATACATTAGAAGCAAGGTTAAGGTGCAAACCTACAAAAAACCTTCACCTCCCTATTATGCAGATGATCAATTTTATTGCCAACAATAAAGTGAATCACACTTAACAGTTGTTTCCCTATGTACAAAATACCAAGAATACTCTAGATATTTCAAGTATACATTAATTGCCCAAAATTTGCAATTCCTTGATTACAGCATTGCATACTGTACAATTAAATATCACTAATAAAGCGTAGATATGTATAGTAATTGTAATTTTATAATATTTCTTTTTTTAAAATTTCATTCTAACCACAATTGAATAACAAAATTTTATCTTTCAAAATTAATATACAATTTTTTTTAATAAAAATATAAATTATGTATGTATATATCACATATGTCAATAAACTTTAATCCAGAAATTTAACTTTAAATTCTAAGTTATCTTAATTATAATTATTATTTTTAAAAAGTGACATTATATAAATCACAATGAAAAAAACGAATAAGAATATTCGTTTTATGGAATTGTCAACAAGATATAACATTTATTGCGATTTTAAAGTTTAGTATATTTGAAAGTTTCATTAAGTTGACAATACCATTCTCATGTAATAAAAATTTTTATTACGTCTTGAGTACCTGTACAGTATCTTCACAACTGGTTAGTGAAATTTCTGGACCCGATTCTCCGATAAGAGTAGGCTCTATTTCATCCGCTTCTAATGCTATTGTTGTTATACTTTCGGCTCCACATATTCCCGATGCTTGACACCGGACTTCGCATTTTTTATGACATACCATACCACAATCTCTGCACTGTACCGCATCTTTTAGCCAAATCTATATAAACATATAAATTTTGTTATTCAATATAAAACATTTAAAAAAAAAATAATTGTAAAAACATCGACCTTTTTTGTACAAAAATCGCAATGTGTTGCTCTATGAAAGTGAGTTCTAATAAAGTCATGCATTTTTTTTTCAACAATTTCTTCACTCAAAGATGGTTGTGTTTTAATAGCTTCTGTATTTTCCTTTTTTCCCATATCAAGTATATGGCGATTTGAATAATTGGATTCCCATATATAAGATAATAAAATATCACCATAACAAAGTGTGGGATCAAATCCTGAATAATCTTGTAGTTTTGGATGAACTGTCGTCAAGGAAGCTTATAAAATATAGCATAAAATTAATATAAAATAGATAACAATAATATTAAAAATTATATTTAATAAGATTAATACATACCACTATCTGGTGGTAATAAAGCATGACATTTAAGATAATGACCAGTTGAGGATGTATAGCATTGTGCTAAAATTAATTTCATGGGAACATTAATATATCCTAATAATTTTGCATGAATTTCTCCTCCTCTTACACGACCCCACACTCCAATATTTAAATACTGAAGTTCTGAATCAATTTGGAAAGTTCTAGTTTCCTCAAAAGTAATTAAAGAAGCATATTCCTTTTCTTTAGTGGTATAATACAAATCTGATATATTTGTTACATAACTATCATTAAAACAAAATTGAGAATTACTCGATATTGATTGATTTGAAGTAGTCGAAATTTTTCTGGAAGGTGTAGTATCTGGTGTTTGAGCAGTATCATCAATATGTGCACTGCTTTTTCTTCTTCTAAAAAATTTATTACCCATTTCCAATTTATCAACAATTTCATTTTCATAATCTTTTAAATCTGAAAATTTAATTTGAGTTTCAAATTTGATTTTGCTATCTTCTGTACTGGGTGTATCTCCCTTATTTGATATGGGATCAATTTTTAATGTTTTTTTATCTCCTCCTCTTTCTGCAGATATTTTTTCACTATCCAATTTCATACTAGTTTGCTTGTCTAAATCTATTTTAGAATACTTTCTTTCAACCCTTATGATAAAACGTCTTTGTACAGCACTTTTTACAAATTTAGCTACTTGATTCATATTAGATACTTTTTTACCATCTACTGCTATTAAAATATCCCCTTTTTTCATTTCAGCAATTGCAGCAGGACTTCCAACTATTATAGTTTCAACTAATACACATGTATGACCTATTTCTGGCACAAATTCTTGTTTAAATACTACACCAAGTTGCTGTGACCCAACTTTACTGATAATTAAATCCAACACCATATAAGGAACGCCAGTATATTGAGTTAAATACACCCAAGGTGTTGAATCTATGCTTATTGTACAATATATTTCAACTTGTGATCTATCCTCTGCATTAAGTATATTAGGTCCAAGATTTAATCTAGTTACTTCAACCAATGATACTTCCAAGTAACCTGGTATTAATTGCATATTAGCGACCTGAAAATTTTTAAACATTTGTTAGATATATTATTTTTCAATTTTTATAATGATGGGAATCAAGAAATATTTTACTTCAGATAAATCTACGGCTTCATCGTTTAGTCTGCGGAAAAATGGTTTGTAACGCATTTTATAGCGAGGTAATGTGTGCTTTCTCCGTACTGCTCTCCGAATTTGTCCTGTGATTAAAGAAATAATTTGTGGTTGTAATTGACGACCTTGAAATTGGGATTGCACTTCCAATTCAAGTATAGGATCTGAATAGAAACTTAAAGACCAATGAGTATATGGAACACGTGTAAATTGTAATCTAGCTCTACCACTGATACGTTTCACTGAAAGAAAATATTATAAATTACATAAACATTGAATCATAAAATCAAGAAATATATTTACAATAATTTGTTCAAATTATTAATGTACCTTGTAAAGCCATATAAGCAGTCTTTCCCAATAACATTTTAACATCTATTGATAATTGAAAATTTCCAGAATAATGTAAATCTAAAGATAAATCCAATGTTTCCAATAATCCTGTATCAGCATCTATTTTTGAATCTGCAACTTCTAAACCTTTTATTGTAGGAAATTGTGAACCTAAATTTAAATCTCTTAACTGAAAAAAAAAATATATATATATATATTATTTATTTATATTTAACATATGAATATCAAATAATAATTTAAACAATAATTTACCTGTACACTGTCCAATAATTTTCCAGTAGTAGATTGAGTTAATAATTCTTTGAATTCATTATTTAATTTTCTATACAACCAAAGACGTACTCTCTCAGCATTTCTAAGTTCATTGAATAGAAATTGTAATGTTAAATTTATTGCCAAGTTTTCATTGCCTTGACACATACTCTGACGTGATATATTTATGGAATTTATTTTTTCATCTTGAATTTTTTCAAATAATTCTTTAGGTAATTGAGCCTTGTCATGGTGAAGTGATTTTTTTGGTGAATTTGCTAAAGGTGCTTGTTCCAAAAATTTTTTGAAGAAATAAAATTCCAATACAATTGTACATATTATACCACACATAAATGTAATCACAGATACACAAATAAATTCAAAAATATCCATATTAATATATCATCTATTGGAAACTTAATTGTTTCCCTGATTAACACCAATTTTTTCACTACTAAGATTGAAAAATATTCAAATAAATTGTATAAAAAGTCTTCTTGTGAATTAAATATGAAATAACAATCATGTAAACATATTAAATATATTTTAATATTATTAAATAATATTTTTAAGATAAATACATTACGACGTTCATACAAAATAGGAACTCTTATAATATGTATGATTTCGAATCGATCATTAAAAAGATATTGTTTTTTTAATGCTGAATTACATTGTTATGATCACTTTCGTTTCACGGGTCAACAGTTATTCAGAACACTTTCACCTATCATTATAAATTAAAATTAAGACATTTTCATAAAAATATAAATAAAATTTTATAAGAATTTAAAAAATATTCATTTTCACAAGAAAATATTCGTACAATACATTTTAGAAAATCTAATAATGCCAATGAACATGGATAAAACGTATTATGACAGTTTTCTATTGATCCTGGCAGCCATGTTAGTGCCAAACAAACTTGTCAATTTGACAGATCTGTCAATTGTCTATCTAATACTATCCATTTAAAAAATAATGATAAAAAATATAAATGTTTATTTCTTTAAATTTTTACATTATAATAAATATCAATAATACAATATTTTATTTATATAATATATATATAATCATATAATTAATATACAAGAAGATATATATAAAAAAAATTTAAAAAAACATTATATTATATTATCTTAAAAAATAAAATATTTAATAGAAATAATATACTTTAAATAATTATATAATTTTATTTTACAATAAAATAAAATAAAAATTATATTGGAAAATATAATTTTATTATTTTTTGTATATATTTTTTATATATTTTTTATATTAATAATATATATCTTATATTAATAACATTAATTTTTTTTATAAAAATTGATATGAAATAAATTATTTAATTATATATATTTCGATATTAAAAATATAGACGAAACTATAACCTAATTAGCTGATAGTGTAACCTCATAATTTTGTTTTTAGAAACATTTTTTATTATTCATTATATATAAAATTTATGATGTAAATATATGCATATATTTCTGATATTAAATAAGCTTTAAAAAAGAAGTTATTAATATTTTTATTTTTTATAATATAAAATAATACAAAATATAAATGTAATCTCTATAGATGTATATATATTAAATATTATTATAATAATATAGCCATAATTATATATTTTTTATAAATAAATGTAGAATATTAAAAATGGCAGCATTAATGAAGAAAAGAGTTTTAGCAGAATTTAATCAGAGTCAGGTAATTTAAATTTCTTTTTCAAAAAAAATTCAATAGAAAAATTTTATTTAAATATATATTTTATAGGTTGTAAATGAACCACCATTAAAAAGATTAAGAACATTGCGGCTTATATCAAATTCAGGCAGTAAAAATGGAACAGAAGGAAGTTCAGCATTAGCTTATATTGAATGTCTTGAAAAATGTAAATGTGGCAATGATGCTTTACAACTTCTTGTTCGTATATCTGATACAATTGCATATATCTCTTCAGAGGATGTTCCTTCTGTAGTAAAAAAATTATCAGAAAGATTTACTATAGAAACAGAAGCTGCAGTTCGTGCTAAAATACTATGGATATTTGCAGAATTAGGAGAAGTAACAAATGATTCATTAGAAAAAACAAGAATTGTTAATGAAACAGCTGAACTTTTAAAAAATGAAGAATCCCATAGAGTAAAAAGTCAAGGCTTAGCAACATTATTAAAACTAGGAGATTATCATAGGTATATATTTTTATATATTATAATATAATAAAAAATTATATATTATAAAGAAATTATTGTTATTTTATATTATTAAAATTCATAGAATATAAGATAATTGATTTATTCAATTGTAGAAGCCTTGTATTGAAGATTGCTCGTGATCATTTACCTGATACTTGGCATGGTGTACAGACACGTTGTCTTTCTATCATTGGAAGATATTTAACAGCAAATACTACTGATGATACTTTAGCACTTGTCAGCAATTATGCACACTCTCAAGATCCAAGAGTACGTGCACAAGCATTTGAGACAATGGCTGAACTTCATTCTTATAGAAGTTGTAGATTACCAGCAACCTTTTTTGGAGAAGCTTGTACTGCACTTAGAGATGATTATGAAATAGTTCGTAGAACTGTTCTTAAACTAATATGGCTTTTAGGCAGAGAATATCCTGAAAAGTAAGCAATAATTGATAACTTTTTAGTTATTATTTTTGTTGTTAATTATCATATTCATATTCTCAATATCTCATTATTTTATAGTATCATTGTAGGATCAGATGGAGAAGATATACGTATGGTAGATTGTGCATTTTCCCAAATTTGTAGTCTTATGGGTGACTTATCACCAAGAGTTCGAGCTTCAGCAATGTCTCTTCTAGGGACAATGAAAGGTGTATCAAAACGATATATAGAACAAGCATTGGATAAAAAACAAAAAGTTGTAGAAGCAGATAGACCAGAAGTAGAAGAAAAAAGTGGATCATGTGGAGCATTTATTCATGGTTTGGAAGATGAATTTTTAGAGGTATTATTATTATTTATTTTTTTATTATATAATTTGTATTTTAAGTAATTGAATAAATTTAAATAAATTTATTCAGGTAAGAACAGCTGCAGTTGAAGCACTTTGCACTTTATCCTTAGAACAACCAAATATAGCTAGAATTTCATTAGATTTTATGGTTGATATGTTTAATGATGAAATTCAAGATGTTCGATTAAGAGCTATTGAATCATTAAGGAAAATATCTGCAAGCGTAACGCTTCGTGAAGATCAGTTAGAAACAATCTTAGGAGCACTGGAAGATTTTTCAGGTGAAGTACGAGAAGGTTTACATGCTACTCTGGCGGCTAGTCGACTTGCTACAAGAAATTGCCTTCATATGTGTGTAAATCGTTTACTTGATAATTTAAGTCGCTATCCACAAGATAAAGAAAGTATTAGAAATTGTTTAGCAGCATTGGGAGCATCACATCCATATTTAACATTGCCTTTAGTACCTCAACTTCTTGGACGACATCCATTCTTTGATACACCAGAGCCAGATGTTGATGAACCTTCTTGTATCCTTTTAATAGTTTTCTTTATAAAATATAATTTGCATTATTTTTAACTACATTCTTAATTATAATTTAATTCTTAACTACATATATAGATGCAAGTGTACTAGTTTTAATTTTTAATGCTGCATTACATTGTCCAAGCATGCATGCTCTTTTTACAGAGCATGCATCTAAACATTATCATTATTTGCGCGATACTATGCCACATTTAGTTCCTCGATTACGACCAACTATAACGAGTGGACCAGACTTTGGAAAAGAGGATAAAACTGATGAAGAAACTGAACGTGGAAAAGAATTTCTAGAAAAAGTAGTTACTGGTGTAGAAAATGCAAGACCTGGTGGTAGAGTTCATACGCAACTCTTAGAGGCTGCAGCTATTGATTTAGATCGTTTAGCGGAAATGGATCATCGTATGGAGGGAGCCGCACGTTTTACTGTTTTATATATAAAATGTTTGCTACTTTTGAAATCAGTATTAAAAGAATTTTCAATATCATCAACAAACTCGGTATCGGCAAGTCCATTGCCAAATACAACTACTAATGTTTCAGTTCTTCTTCAAAATACTCAAAAGTATGTTTAAATATATTTATATTTATTATACCTATAAATAAAAACTTATTTATCAATAATTTATATCATCAATAATTATATAAATGTTATAGATTACAACGATTATTCAGTGGATTAGGTGAAAACGAAATCATATTAGCCAATGATGTATGGTTAAAAGCATTAGCAGTAGAATTAATTCGAGTAACAAGAAGTGTGACAGGAAGAAGTGCTCTTCCACTCGCACGTCACTTTTTATCTGAAACTGATACTCTACCTCAAGATACTGCAAAATTGCCATCCTTTTCTAGAGCTCTTGTACATCAAATTCCAACTTTAGCTGATGTAAAACCGGGTTCTCTAACACGAATGCTTTTACCATTACTTTTAACACCAGCGGCACAAGGAGAAGAACGTCTTCCTAGACCATCAGTATCCACTCGATTTTGTAGAGCAATTATAGAAGAACCCAGAGGTGATGCAGATGCTGCATTGAAATTTACAGGAGGTCTTCTATTAGGAATTCCATTGACAGCAAAAATATTAAATTTACGAGATCCTAATATATTACGCATTAAATTGAGGCATCCTGATCAACAAGTACAATTATTATTACCGCGTCAATCCGATTTACGATTACAAAATTTAGAACAAAATGACTTCAGATTGAAAACTACAGTTCTATTGTCTCATCAAGTTTGGATGGAAGCTTGTAACGTAGAAATATCTCTTGCACTTCTTGTACCATCTTCAGCTGTATGTACACATTCTCCCCTTGATGATCCATGTGTTATAGATCTTTGTAAACCGACTAAAGTTTCAATCGCACCAAAACCTATAAAACGAGGTATCTAAATATATTTTATAAATCTCAATAATATTTGTCACTTTGAAATATTTTGTGAGTTTCCGAACTTCAAAATAATATAAAAACACGAGAACGTAATTTTACTTATGTTAAATAAATCAATGATTTATAGATTTGACCAGATTTTTATTTTTATAAGTGTTCTATGCACAATGATGCAATTTAATAATATAAGATGCTTTTTTTTAAGATGAGACTTTAATTCTTTTTGCTCTTTACTTTCATATTATTATTATTCTCTTCATTTTAAAAATCTTGCAATGAAATATATAATTTCTGTTAATTGAAAGATATTAGAAAAAATAAGAACTTCAAAAATTATGATAATTTATTAATAAAAAAAAGAATTTACAGAAGGAAAAAAGAAAATATAAAAATTTTAATCTGATTTTAATTAAAGATTCTTATGAAAATTAATTTTTTAGCTTTCATAAATAATATTATTATAATATTATTAATTGTAAATATATTTTTATTGTAAATAAGTTTGAAATATTCTAAATTACTTTTTACAAATTTTAACAATATTTTAAAATTAATAATGTTCAATCTATTTATAAAAAATAATCATAAATACATAATTTAAAAAGATAGAGAGGAGGACACAAAAACTTTATTTCTTTTTTATAAAAATAACGTGTCTTAAAATATAATATATCTTGAATGTTTATTAACTACCGCCAAGTGGAAAAAGAGCTTCCACTGTAACAAAAAATATATTAAACATTTTTAATTATATTATTTTAAAAATTTGAAAATAAAAAATTCAATTTAAACTTACCTAGTAAATACTGGAGATTTTGGTGTATCTGCACTTTTTTGTGCTAAACTACTGAAACTCAATCCACCAGATTGATTTGCCAAAGATTCAAATGTACTACTACCATTTACATTTCCAAAAACTTTTGGCATATTATTATCAATTGGAGCAGGGC